CAAAAGTCACAGTTTGATAAGAATTCGATTAAATTATATTTAAACTCGAAGTTGTTCGTAATTACCTTATTATAAATATTTACTTTTTTTTATTGATTCATCTACAAACATTAACTGTAATGAGCACTAATTTTGAAAGCGAGTATTAATAAACGATCTATGCAAGTAATATGTACCTCTGTGAAGAAGCCTAGCGATTTGTTCATAGTATGTCTTGCATTTAAAAGCCTTTTTAACTAATAGCGTTGAAAACAAGGACCAAGACGCAGACTATTTATTTTTCAGCATTGAGACACTTGTTCAGGGCTGGAACGAACCCTTGGCCTTGCAGCAGCGAAACGCTTAGCCACTACGTTTAGCTTTCGTCATTTATTTTTTACTTAATTAATTACTAGTATAATTCGCGTTGTTTATTTTACGTTTCTTTATACATATTTTTGTACATAATAATTTTAGACATTACAAAATGCTGTCTGTTTCATTGACTTCTTATCCTCATCGGCATTATTAATCGATCCCCACGTAAAAAATTTTATTTCTTATAAATCATTCAGTATACAGATTAAACTCTTATTATTTAAAAATATCGATAAACAATATATCGATAAACATTATATCGATAAAATTATTCCAGGATAGACATTAATAGCACTATTATAATTTGCCTATGTTGTCAGCACTGTTTGTGAAAATTAAATATCATGTCTTGATGTTGGTAGAGTGGCTTGGCGCTCTTTCATACATTTACTTTTTACATTTCTGAACTTCAGTAATCACTTTGAATGAGTTTTTCTGGAAACAGCTATACCATGGGATTATATGAACTTAGAGGGTTGTATTGATGATTATAATGATTATAAATACGTACTCCTTATGGTCGCGAATCATGTTTTATTAAACATACAACCTGACCCTGACCTGAAAATTCCAAAAAATTTTAAGAAAATTTGAATTTCGCGGGCCACGCTGGAGCTTTCACCTTAAACGTAGTGATTATATTGTCTTTGGTCAAATCACAATGCGAATTTAAGAGCTGCCCACAAAAATCTGTAGCATTTTACCTAAAATCAGTTTATGAAAATACAATATTCATTCAAATGTGTTTTATTGTAAACAGCTTTTGGTACCATTGAGAATAACGACCCATCCAAATAACCATCATAGAGACGCAATACTGCATAACGCAACAATCATCATTACGACTACCGCCAGGTTTACGCCATCCCAAGGTCGATCCCAGCAGACACATCCCCACGCGCATACTTTTATCCACCAGAACCACAAGATGCGTAATTTATTGTTACGAGTCGCTGCCCGAAACATTCGAGTAATGCCGAGCGCGCCAGTGCCGCCCGGTCACGGCGGGACATCATAGTCACTTCACTTCGTATCGAGCGGCAGCGCGTGCAACTTGTCTCATTAATAAATGTATTGAAGCATAAAGTAACAATTTATATTCCATTACACTTTGTGACATACAATAAATTAATTATTAATGAAGACGCAATACCGCAAATCAAAGCAACTGTCATACAGATTGCGTTAGCGCCTTCTCACAACACACCCACTTGATCATGTGGTGGTGTTAACTAAAAATACCACCAACGTATCAACTTACTGAGATGTCAGTAATCAAACATCCATATATCATAGGTCTTTTGCATAAGACATAGAGTTGAGTATGCTTGTTGCATTTAATAGTGCTACCAAATACACTCTACGTAATCCGAGAAATATCCGACGCTGTCCACAGTCGGTAGGGGTGTACGATATCCACTAGTAAGCCGTATTACTACAACAAACCCGCTTATCACCGGCACTAAGTTGATATGGCTAGGACATATCGGTTATCGAGTACATGTTTACCGCGTTCATGGTCACGATAAGACATACTACACTGTAATAATCGTTTTCAAGTCCCATTCCTATCAATATAATGTTTTCAAATATTTGAGACCTTCCACACACGAGTATTTGCTTTATTTCATAGACCCTACTTTCTTATGTCTTTTACATAATATGCGACTTCATGGCCCAACTCTGGTATTATAATGATTATTAGTGTCCGACCGAAACCGGATTTTCAACTGAAATCGAAAACGAATCTTCGAACTTGGTGTCAGTTTCGGCCGAAACCGAAACTTATGTAGACATTTTATTTTTTATTATAAACTGAAAGCTGGTATATTTTTTATACAAATACAGATAGGTAATGCATGTTAATAAAAAATATTAATTGTTATTACAATACTAAAATAAATAAATACTTTTTTAAGTAAATTTTGTAAAAAATCCACACTTAAAAAGTTACTCGCGAATTGAGAACAGATTTTATTGTGTTCACAATATTGTGAAACTAATATATTATTCAATGAGAGCATTAACGTAATATAATTACGAGTAATATACGATTCACGAACTCATCCGAACGACGCACGATAATCCACGAACACTTGAGTTTCGGCGTCGCCGAAGGTTCGGCAAATTTTTTGCCGGAACCGAAACTATTACCGAAACTAGATTTTTTGCCGAAACTTGCCGAAACCGAAACTGAATCTTCGGTCGGTCATTATGATTATGCATCTTAGAGATCTATTATTGCTTTTGTTTCATAGACCTTACTATCATATAACCTTAATATGGACATATTTCATTTTACAACAGTATGTCGGTAGTCAATTACGATCGACCTCCTCACCTATATACATTTGTGACTGAGGTCATGCGTCTCCAGCAGATCCAAGTACAATGTATGAGAAAAATTAAGGCCTAAGATTTAGTTCAAAGTTTGTATGGCCATGAAATCTATCAAATATTTCACCTCATTATTTTTATGATTAGCACTCATTAGTTTAAAAACTAAATGCAGGCGTACTTAAAAGTTCATATCTGCACAAATATATTTTTTTTCACATATACACTATTTAACCACCTTATTAAGTTATTGTTTATATTTATTGATTAGTTATATTTACATCTAAAAATATCAGTTGTTCATCTTTTAAATTCGTAAGCCGTGTGCGCTGGTCACTAATAATTACTTGTCTGATTTTGAAGCTGCAATTCTAATTTCCAAGCTCCATCGGCTCATCGCTACTTAATACCCGGTCGTATGGAGTATCGGGTCAATCTCAATGTCGCTACGTTTCCACAAACTATAGTGTTTCGCTTTTTCGTCAGTAAATATTTTCTACCTATAAATAGTTATCGTCCAACCGAATACCGTATTTCAGGTATTTTCTTCAATATATAGTCATTGGCAACTATTTACGTTATGCAACGCTTATGTTTATTACACATGTAGTGACTTAAAGTGTCCAATGTGACAAAATAAAGTGTGATACATAGGGACGGTAGTATGAATGAACGGAACGATCAAGCCGTCACAAACATAGTTCAATTAGTACAAATGCTATTAGACTTGATCGAACGGACTATCTGCGAAAAAAAGATGAACAGCGCATTTTTGTCACTACTTGTGGAACGTGCGGTGTGCTGTGGCGCGGTCATTCACATAGTGACGGTAGTACGAACCGTCGACTAAACCGTTGCAATGACAGTTCGATTATTACACATGTGTTGCGACCTGGTTGAACGGCCGAATCACAAAAAACGAGGCGTAGTCGCAGTTTCTGTCATTACTTATGGAAAGTGGTATGCCATGCGTAAATTTACATTATGAATAAAAAATAAAGAAAGAAAGAGAAGATGCTATATTAGTTATAGCATGAACGGAAAGTGTGGCTTGAAGAAAAAGAAATATATTTTTAACCTACTTCTAATTGCAGCTCTTAAATTTGCTATTGTTAAGTCCCATATTTTTTTATTTGCCTCAGGGAAATACAATTAGCAATTTATTTAAGTAAAATAGTACGAGAAATTATAAATTGTTGATTACTATTCGTTAATCTCTGTGCTGATAAAATATGTGCTGACAAAAGCGCAAAATTATTTAGTTTTATAAATTACATAATGGCAGATCAGTACCTAGACGAAAAACTTATTATAATTTAATTTTTTTAAGCTTTGACCAGTGTAATGTGTAAAAGTCAAATTTATAAAATCCACATATAAGTATATATTGTCTTATTAGGATGGTTAAAGATTTTTCTATGTTAGGTATAGCAAGCAAATAGCAAAATCAATTTATTTTTAAAAATATTTTTATAAGGATAAAAATATAGCTTTGTAGTAAATAAACTAAAAAATATTAAAGGAATAAAATAATTGTTCTAAGTTGTCACTACCAAAGAGTATTTAAATGCTTTATACGCTCTTATAATATGTAGGTGTAAGTATCTATACCTAAGGGTATTAGTGTTCTGCTGTGATCTATACTCTTTAGAATATGCCCGAGTAGGCGATTCCCGTATAAAATATTATACTCTTTGGTAGGCGAGTAGTGGACAGAGTGGGCATGATTATATGATATGTTTGTGATTTCTATAAATTTTATTTTAAAACAAACAAATATTTTAAAGTAAAACAAGAGTGTTAAGGTAATCTATTAAACGATTTACATGAGCTAATGGTGGAGACCCACTTATTTGTGCATTTACAGTTATTCGTGTAACACGTATTTTGTGCATAGAGTTCAAGCATTGAATTAGGCCACATAGCGATCTCTCCCTAAATTACCGCTGTTCAGCCTGTCGACGTATCAAGACAGACTATCAAGTAAGCGAGTTGTGTTTATCATTTATTGTTTTAAACGTTTTGGTTTTTATATATATCATGTTTTACGGGATAAGCATAGGATACAATAGATATCGTTTTTAAATAGTACATAGCGAGTCGATAATTTGTATGTTTTCGTAAATGGGTCACCTCGCCATTCTTTGCAATGTACTTGATTTTATGATTATTAAGATTATGATACATTTACTGCTTATTGTTAGGGAATATATGAATCGAAATGTTCAAACACGATACGAACTTATTCTTCTTAGGCGCGCAAGGAGGTGGAGTGATGATCAGAAAGGCCACGACCTGGTAATGTGATGTCATCGAAAGGAGAAACAGAGGCCGATTCTGGCACGGTGTCGCCGAATTTATCTACAGTGAAAAATGAACCGGTCAGTATTGCATTTTTTAATGAAAATAAAATATGTAATAAATAATAAATTTACTACAATTTCGTTATTCATTATATTGATAAACCTATTTTAATGATTTTTAAGTATGTGCATTTTAATAGATATTCTTAAATTATCTTATTTGTATATTGAATATTTAAAAATAAAAAAGTGCCTCCTGGTATATATAGTAGTACACATGTGTATTTTCTATATCATATTTTGTGTTCTCTATTGCTTATTTTTTGGAGTTCCTATTGTACAATCCAAAAAATTGTTTGATATATTTTTTTGTATATTTTTATACTTCAAAACGGTTAATTTAATCTGTTCAAGTGTTTTTAGTACTTATATATAAATTGTTGCTTTATTTTCAGGCAGCTACAGCCAGTAAAGATACCCCCAAAAGGGGCAACAGCACATTGCTTAAATGTTCAACTTGCAACAGTTTTAGTACACTTAGTAGTCGTGCTTTAACTACACATATGGCTCAGTGTTCACCAGACAACAATAATGTGGCTGCAGCACAAAATACAGATGCAAGACCGCATAGAAAGCTGTTTGAATGTGATGTGTGCAATATGAAATTTTCAAATGGGGCTAACATGCGCAGGCATAAAATGCGCCACACTGGTGTAAAACCATATGAGTGTCGCGTATGCCAAAAAAGATTTTTCAGAAAAGACCACCTAGCGGAACACTTTACAACACACACAAAAAGCTTGCCATATCATTGCCCAATATGTAATAGAGGTTTTCAACGACAAATTGCAATGCGTGCACATTTTCAAAATGAACATGTTGGTCAGCATGACCTTGTTAAAACTTGCCCACTCTGTAGCTACCGTGCTCCTACTATGAAGAGTTTAAGAGTTCATTTCTTCAATAGGTAATATTTTTTAATGTTAGTCAATAATTTATATTGAGCTTTTAACAAGTTAACGAATTTTTATTTCACAGGCATGGCATTGATTTGGACAATCCAGGTCCAGGAAACAATTCAGTGTCCCTTTTAGCTGCTGGTATTGCAAATGCAGCTTATGCAGATGGCACTATAGATCCTAGTACAATTAATGCACTAGGGTCTTTAGGCTCAGGACTCTCTGTATCTGTAGCTGCCGCATATTCTGACAGTGGTGACAGTAACGGTGAACGTTCTGTGGATAATGCAACACCACCAATGCATTACTTGACACCTCATGTGGAAATATCCATGCCTGATAATAATGAGACATATTCTCCTGTTCAGCCCAACCACTTAATTAACACAGGTAAGAAATAAATGAAGTTAATGTATTATTGTATTTTTGAATGTTTTTTTTTAATTAAAAATTGATTTAAATTACTATTAGAATCACGAATGAACGGCGAAGGCCCTAATTCACCACAATCTGGCGACAGTGCTGTGGCTAGCAGTTCACTTTCAGCAGGTCTACCTACCAACATAACACCATCTATTACTCTCATACCAATCAAACAGGTAATGACATTGATTATAATTTTGACAGTACAATACTTGTGACTTACTAATTAAACTAGTTAAAATAAGTGTCAAAATTGTTCAAAAAACAGTTAAGTGAACTCCTAAATTATATTTATCGAATTTGATAGCAACAAAGACTAGTTCAGGTATTCACATTTTAATAATTTGCATGTATAAATTGCTAAAATTACAAGAATTTGACCACATTAAGCAAATGATAATAGTTCATTAATAATTAAGTTTAGCCATTAAGGTAATAACAAAACAATATTACTATGTTTTGAACCAACTGTTCAAGTTTTAGTAATATTATTGGTAATGAAATTGATGACTGCTTTGTAATGAAGTGGATGCTCCAAATGCAATTCTGCACCAGACAAATATTAGAATGGCCTATAAATATTGTTCTGTTTCTGAATATTTGTCTGTGTGCAGTTTCCAAATGTAAGAAGCCTCCACTATGCAGGATAAATTCCTAGAGTTCAGTATATTGTATTGTCAATATTCTACCACTATCATTTTGCCAAACTGGGTTTCCAAATTTATTCATAGGCATTAAATGTTGTTAAATTGTTGCATTAAACCATATAGCTTTGCTGTAAGCTTTAAATTGCTTAGTTAATATACTTAACAATTGCACACTTGATGGGTTACTTATTTATGATTGTTTCTTTAAGTAAAGCAAGTTAATAAACTACAATCTCAATAATAATGGCTCTTTATTTATGCTTGGTCTGGACTTAATTTAAATTCTGGGAAGAAACAGATGACTCTGTAAACTATTGAGAGATTAATGTTATATAATAGTTTCAATAAAACTTAAATAAATAGTGCTTAATAATATAACATATCAATTATGAATAAAAATGAAATGCAAATTTCAGGAACCAAATACACAGGAAGATGGTGGTACAGGAGAAATGCGGGATGGTGAAGCAAATGGTGGTGATAAGCGAGGTGTATCTTCAAGTCTATCTTCTTTGATTAAAGTTTCACCACTAAAAAGCTTGCTACGGGAGGATCTGCGCAGACGAATTTCAGCGCGTGGCCGATCACGAGGATCAAATGTAAATATAGCTTTTTTATTATAATAATATATATTCATGAAATTTGTTGAAGAGTATAAAATAATAGGATAATAGCGACCCGGCCTGGCTTCACCAGGGTGGGATCTGTTAATGTGACATTATTTAGATTTAAGACAGCCATCTAAGAGCATTACCGTACCGGTTGGTGAAATATGGGGTGGCTCCAACTAGATGGAGTGACAACCTGGTAAGACATGCCGGAAGTCGATGGATGCAGGTGACTCAGGACCGTGCTTTTGTGGCATGCCTTGGAGGAGATCTATGTTCAGCTGTGGACTTGTGAAAGACTATAATGATGGCGATGGTGATCTAAGAGGATCTTAATTAATTTTTTGCTTAACAAAGGTTTCAGATAAAAGATAGCCTAGATCACTCCCGGCATTTCTTTCTATCTTTTGGTAAAGTTTCATTACAATCGGTTCAGCCATTTCAAAATTTTTGAAAATGATTACTCATGTCTTAATTGCATTCCATAATTCCCTTAAAAGGTAGTCATTTCAATGTTACAGACGGGCAGACTATTTTTCTTATCTATCTTATTTTATTATTTAGAATTTAATTTCAAAATTCTATAAATATTAAGAAAAGTTATGTTTAACGGCTTACTGTTCATACTCGCTAACACGCGCGCTCTATATCTTGTATAGTATACTCTTAAGGTTTTTTTAAAAATATTTCTATGAATTAATTATTTATTTTATTGTTTTTGAGTGCTTTCTATATAGCAAATCTATATTTATGTATGTTATAAAATCTTCCGACGACATACAGTATTATTTTTCGAAGACTATCTAAATTTTATATTTAAGTTCAAATATATAAGGAATAATGTACGGCCAACAACTACGCATACGCGCGCTCCTCTGTGTGCGATCAAATTAACAACGTTATTTACCGCCTGATCGACCTTTACGAATGTGTGCATGCGTAGTAAAATAGTAGGCGTTAGATATTTATGAATGACTATCAGTTAAAATAATGCATTACCACACATGCTGAATTTAAAAGATAAAAACGACGGAATATATGAAATTTTTTAAATATATTCTTTTTCACCATTCGCCTATATTACTTATTCTGAACATTTTCTGCAAATTTGGGCGTGTATTTCAAAATAACCCTATATAATAACTCGCAGTCATTTAATAAATAGCATTTTGTCAACCCTATTGTGTTTTATAGTTTATCAAAAATAGTTAATGTAAAGCTTAACATGTTAGTACTTACATTTAATAAGTGACAGATTTTTAAGTGCCTATATTATCAAATAGTTTTAATTTTTTAATATAAACTGTAAATCAATCCCCTTACTTGTTGAATGTTACCGTACTTCCATTCTGGTAACGAGTTATACATTGTCATTGTTACTAAAAAAATATTCTTCATAATATTACTAACATGAAACATAACCGAACTATTATACAACACACATAATATGTTTTAAGAAAAAGAATGGTCATTTCCAAATTATGTAAAATTTTGTACCCAGTATACTTAATGGCAGCGCTTTAAATCGGCACAAACGTTTTGTAGGGTATAGCCAACATACTAATATACGGAGGTCAGTGTTACGCATACACGTGCACATTATCGTGTCCTGCGCATATTGGTGGTCTCCGTTGAGACTTGACCGTCGTGACCGAAGTGCGGTCTCTTTTCTATGCCTCTACTGAAGTCCGGCGAATCTGCCATCGTCAGCAAAAGATAAAAACTAGAAAATAATTAATTTAAATTAAAAATTGAAAAACTCCCGAAATATGAATCCCGAAATCTGATTATCTTCAAATGGCTGAAAATATTTTCTTGAATCATAGCTAAGAGCATTCGATAAAGTCACCTTTCAAACAAAAAAAATCAATATCGGTTCATCCGTTTGGGAGCTATAATGCCACAGACAGACACACAGATACACACATTAAACATATTATAGCCTTCTTTTTCGTCGGGGGTTAAAAACCGGCCAAGTTCGGGTCGCGCCACGCACAATGTAGGTTACCAAAGTTGCCTGTCACAATATGTGAACTTAGAAGGAGCTTTCTTGATACTGTGAGCATATTAAATGAGTTAACGGTTTGACCGCTATAAGGACTAAACACCTGCTCAAATAGGATTAACGAACTTATTTTCCACGCCGATTTGTAGGGAGTGGTATTTAAAAAGATAAAAAATCTTTACGATTTTGAAAATAACACAATCTACATCAAAACATTCACATGCCAAGTCCGCACAAAAATGGTCACAATTAGTTCCTGGTAGTGCAGTCCTAATGGAGCCTATACACCATCGGCCATGATAGACGAATTCTAGCGATCACGATCGTGTAGAGAACATAATCGCCTATAACTGCCCATGATCGGTAATGATCGAGCGTAATGGCCCCTGTGTCGGTTTTTCGGACAAACATCAAAGGAAGTTCGACCTTAGTGCGCGCGTCCACATGATCGCTGAACGCCGATGCTCTATAATGGGCCCTATACACGATCGGCCATGATGGACAACCACAGAATGGGCCATGATTGTCACAATCATTGCGCGGCTGCCCACATGATCGTGCATCCTACATATTTGTATTGTCATCTATCCGAGATTGAAAGAGTTGCAGCTGCCGGTATTTATTTACTTAATTAGTTTATGGGTCAATCCCACGACCCACATTTTGAAGAGGTCAGGCAAAATATTTTTTTAAGAAATAAATATTTAATATATACATTCCGACATGAAAAGTGTGTTAGAAATATCAACTACTTTATATATTTCAAAGGGCCACGACGTTCATTTATTATTGTGGCCACAATTTGCGAAAATGTATGAGCACCCTCTAAAAACTGTCTACTGCGTAACCTATATATAGTGATCGATATAGTCTGAATAAAACAAATATATAAATGATTCGTAGCCTTTATTTAATTTTATACGCAAAATTAATTGCTGTAATAAAGTCGGTCTTAACAATTGTTTAGTTTTTATCTTAAAAGTAATCAATTAATTGTATCTTGCGTTACCAACATCCAAATAAAACACGCAACTTTTCATTAAATCTAAATAGATAATAAGATAAACGTAAAAAATCTTTCCTACAGATGCCCTTTTATCAACAGTATATTAAGATATAAAAATATGGATTCTGATGTAGGCAAGAAGATCGCTACGTTTAAAAACAAAAATTTAAATTAAGGGACAAAAAGTAACTTCAGAGACAAACTTGGTAACACCTAAGACATAAAATCAAAAAACTTAAAAAAAATTATTACTTTTAATCATAATGACTTTGAAGTAAGTAACAATCATAAGTAAGGAACAAAATAATATCACATTTAGGATAAACATTCTACTATTAATAATCAATCTATATGAATATCTTTAGATCAAATCTCGACAGTAATTACTTTTCAAATATAACTGTATATTTGATTGTAATATAACTAATATGGAAACAGGAAATTGGTACATATCTTCTTCCAGAAGACTTGCTACCGTCAAGATACTAATAACATCTTCATAATTTACGTAGCTGATATCCCACTTGTCTAGTCTGAACTTCTTCGCATCATTACCAACTACCCGTAAAAACATAACTTTAATTTCACAATCTTCTTCTATAGAGGACAAAGCCTTGCAAACGTAAGAATAAATATTCTTTTTTTTATTACTGCCATAAACATAAACATGTGAAAAATCACCAATTGATACCTGTCGAGGAATTTTGTCGTAACTAGTGGAAGCTACTTGGTCCCTTTGAAAACGAAATTTATCATCTATAGCCATCGATTTACGATTTTTCTTATCAATTTGTGACTCGTCTTCATCACAATCGGATGAAGATCCATAGACAGCTCGGTAAATACTTCGTTGGGATGGTGGATATATTTTGGATTTATTTGAGTACGGCAAGACGAACGTCTTCGACAGACGGATCTTGAACATCGTGCCTTTCTAGTTCGAGGATTTGCTTAGCAGGGTCAATATTTGCAATATTACGAGTGAGAGATTATTCCGAGTGTTTCTTTAAGTAATCTTTCTAGATATATAATAAGGCCAGACTTGAAAAGGCTTTTAAGCAGTCTTTTGTCGCTGACTCCTTATGGTCTTGTACCGATCTTTTATAGACTTGGTCAAAATATTATAACTTTGGTTGTCTCCTGGTTTCTCGTTAGTGTTTACTTCTTTTTGTTTACTTCGCATTTGTTTTTTCTCATACTTTTCACACAATATCTTCAATTTTTTATTTTCCTCCTCCAATTATTTGTTTGCTCTATATACTTTGGATTTATATTTCTTCACTTTTTTCCATCCTCGCTCCCTAGACGCATTTGAAACCGGTGATGCAGGTGGTATTTGGTGGACTTCTTGAATATCTTGTACTCTAGGTAATGGAGAACTTCGCGGTGTCACATCTATAATACTTTGTAAATTCTTTCTTCTTTTCCTGTATTCCCTTTGTCTTAGTTTCCAAATCAAATTGGCTTGTTTCCTTTCTTTCGGTAACAAATCTTTTGCTAATCTTTTTATTTTGTGGTAGTGCTCTCTATGTTTTCTTTTGCTTTCTTCATATTTTTCAGGGTTTTGTTTCAGCCTTTCTCGATATCGCTTCTGTTTTTCTGCTGCTGTTAAACGTACCATTGCATATTTAAGGAAGGTACAGTTTTTAAGTTTCAGTTTATAAGAAATTATTTAATACAATATAAGAAATAAAAGATGCAAATTAATAAGAAATTTATTTCTGCTTTCTATTTTTTACCGAAATAAACTTATCGTTATCTAGGTCACAGTATACTGTGAGTCGAATTTCATCCAAATCTGTCAGTAGTTTTTGTGTTAATAGGTTGTTACCAACAAACACTCACTTTCGCATTTATACTTAACATTTATGTGAGGATAATTGTCATTGAAAACAATGTGCTAGTGAAATAGGAGAAGTATATATTGACAATGAAATAGTAATACACGAATCATTTATAAAAATGTGTATTGATTTTAGT